CCACATCATAAAAAAAAATGTTTATAAAACCGAAGTATTGTAAAATTTAATATCATTAGAAGTTGATTAGCATTTAGAAACTGCTCTGTTTACCAACAAAGTTGTATTTTTGATCAGGGTGTCTTGTTTTGGTTTTTGTACAGCCTTAAAATGAACTAGGATATTGAATTTTGTGGAAAAAAGATTTGTCATTTTTTTATTAAATATATGTTGTGGAAAATAACTTTTTTTTGGTGGTTCATTTGTATATTACTGTAGTATTACACTCACACAAATATACTGGAATTTTAAATTTCAGGTTTAAAAATTATACATTTACTGAGTATTTGATGGTTTTCTTAATTGAGAAAAAAAAATTTGATTGTACTTAATTTTCTATGTTATTGAAATGATAATTGATTTTGCTCACCTGCACTTGGGTTAAGTAAGGTTAGTGTGTTGGACTGTGAATCTAAATTTCAATGATTCGCAAGCTATGACAATGATAATCAAATCCTATTATCTATTTGAATAGGCCAACAGTTGGTTGCATTAACTAGCTGCTTTCTGTCTAGTATGTCACTTTAAAATTACGGAAAGCTGATACTATTAGCCCTCGAGTGGCTTTGCTGAAGTTTAACAAAAATACGTGCCTTTGTTTTGATTCAATAAAACATGGATTTCTCTGAACACACACCCTTTGATTCTATCAATAAAACGTACATTTTTTTTAATATGTCTTTTGATGCAGTGGATAAAGTACATGTATTTTCAGTATTTAAGCCCATCATGTACCTTCCAAAATGGGTTTTTATAGCTGTTGGCTTACATTTGCTTGTTTATCAGCATACATTATAATTTTTGCTTTGACAACAATAAAGACATTACCATCCTTAGAAGATTCGAGATATGGTCTTAAATACTCGTGGATTTATTGTCGATACAATTATTTATAACATCTTTTAATTACTCTTACAATTTTCATTTATTAATTCTAAAGACATCAATCATTTCTGAAACAAATTAAATATAACTATCCAGTGTTAAAGGTTGTTTTCAGTGGCTGCCACTTAATTATCTTATAAATATATACATATTAACATTGTAGGTGTAAGAAATCTTACTTGTTTTAATTAATCATCCAGAAATGCTCAAAATTAGAGAAATTGTGTGCATAAGGGCTTACCATGAAGATGCAATTTTACATAAATAGAGAAGTAACTTCCTGGATGATGGAGAACCAATAGGATGTCAGCTGTGATACAAATATTTCTCTGGAGAACCAATAAGAGTCAACTGTATTTCAAATACTTCTCTGGAGAACCAATAAGAGGTCAGCTGTATTTCAAACACTTCTCTGGAGGACCAATACAAGGTCAGCTGTATTTCAAACACTTCTCTGGAGGACCAATAAGAGGTCAGCTGTGTTACAAACACATCTTTGGAGAACCAGTAGGAGGTCAGATGGTTTGTTCAATAGAATACTGATGAATCTACTTGTTTCTTTAATAATGCAGTGCATATTCTATTTTAGGTACATATCCACAGTTCACCAAAATATAGATATACGCTATTTTCCCTTAATAACCCACACTACTTCAAAACAAAGTATTGTTTCCACATAATAACCCACACTACTTCAAAACAAAGTATTGTTTCCACATAATAACCCACATTACTTTGAAACAAAGTATTGTTTCCACATACTAACCCACACTACTTCAAAACAAAGTATTGTTTCCACATAATAACCCACACTACCCTAAAACAAAGTATTATTTCCATATAATAACCCACACTACTTCAAAACAAAGTATTGTTTCCACATAATAACCCACACTACTTCAAAACAAAGTATTGTTTCCACATAATAACCCACACTACTTCAAAACAAAGTATTGTTTCCACATACTAACATGCATTACTTCAAACACAAAGAAAATACTACTTGTCCATCATAACAGACTTAGAGTACCTTAAAACATAGTACTGTTTCTACATAATAACACACACTACTTCAAAACAAAGTATTGTTTCCACATAATTTACAGTACTTCAAACACTAAGAAATTACTATTTTTCCTAAATAACGCAACATATAGCACTTCAAATAAAAAGTACTATTTTTAATAATAAACATACCTTACAGAACTTTGAAAGAAAACAAAGTGTTGTAGGGCAGGTTCTGTTGGATAGTTTGGTAAAAAGAAGAATGCAAAGATAGGTCCACTTAGTGATAAAAGAATTGTATTTGTCCAACTATAAGTTCTATATCACCAGCACTTCATTAAAACACAAAAGTGGTGTTTACGAACCTGGAGTAACAGATGACCTAACAAACTTGCTAACCACTCAACTCTAACTTACATTTAGTACTTTTCAAATTGTTGACTAAATGTTCTAAACAATTCCAGGCACAAATGTCTAAATCAAAGGAATGCAGTATGTTATTTTCATATTCACTGATTTTGCCCAAAGTAAAGCGAGTAGGAACTGCACGACAACAGAAGGATTGCAAGATACTGTATTGCAAAGTCATTGCTTGATTTTATTTCTTTTGTACTGAGTCTGACACAAAAGAGACTGGACACAAACTGGCTCACAATTATAATCTTTATTATATGTTAATGCAATTTGCATTCATAGATGTTCCCTTTGGTAGAGAGAGATGACTATATTTTAATTCAGGTCATGGTCTTCATTTGTTTTTAAACCTCAACTGGTATGGTCTTCATTTATTTTTAAACCTCAACTGGTATGGTCTTCATTTGTTTTTAAACCTCAACTGGTATGGTCTATCTGTATCTCTGCTGATATGAATATCTAGTTCTGCTTTGTAATTTCTATCTCTGTGTACTGTAACTGAGAGAATGTGGCTTTATATACATAAACATCAAGGCTAGGTTGCCAGAACATGTACAAATCATAGTGACTGGAGATAATTTTTGCTTCAGTGAGAGGGCAGATAATGCCCTTGTGGTATCAGAAAAGACTGTTGCACAAAACATGCAAAGCTACAGCTATCTGTCCTGTCATGTGATAACCTAGTGAGGTGATCCAGTCCTATGTGTACCTAGGATGAGAAAAATGTTGTTGTCCCTTGACCAACTTTCTATATGGGGAGCTAAACATACTGTGCGTGCATAGTAATTTTGAAGTATTTTACATATTAACTAAGGGGGTTAAAAACATGTGGTGCATCACAATAGCCTACAATAGTATTATTCCCCCATGAGAATGTCTTTTAGTGCTTTAAATGATAGAATTAATATTTCCACAAAATTGAAACAGTGGGATTATTGGGTAATGACACAGATCCTATAATTTTTTGGGTTCATTTTTCTTTCTCCTTGCCCAGTTTTAATGTTTGTATGTATTAACTACTTGGAATTTTTGTGAACATGCTTACTATAATATTCTTGCTTTGTTCTGCTAATTTTAACATCTATTTCTGTCAATTTTTGAAAGTAGCCCATCTTTTGTCATCACTAGTGTTTAATGTACTTGAAGTCTTGTCAATCTGTTAACATTTTTTTGATAGCCTGTAGTATTTCTAATCCCTTTTTAAAATGTTTAACACACATTCATTCTTTTACCCCCTTTAGTGTTAGTTTTTTGACTGCGCGAGATAGCTTAGACAGAGTAATAAGAAGTTTAGTATATAGTTTTTGAATTAGACGAACATTACGAAAACTTTGCTTTCTCAACTGGAATTACAAATTATGTAGGTAATTGTTTTTGTATTTAAATGTATTTCCAAAACAGGTTCATTACCATTAGTGAAAGTCATTAATTTTTTGGTTAGATAGGTGTTTAAAGAGGTTTGTTCATGCAGCTGTAATTACTGTACTGTCATAGTCTTTGCACCAAGTTTTTGCTGTATATTTTAGAAAAGTATTCACTTATAGATCAATATGTCTGTTTTTTGAAATTGAAAAATAAAATGTTAAAAAAGTAATAGTTAAAACTTGAAGACACTAATTTAACTTGCTAACTATACCTTTTCTCACTTGAAATATGTATGTGGTATCAAAGGTCACGAAATAGTTTGTAACTAAAACTTTGACACTAATGTACCATTCTTTTAACTTTCCAAGTATTTAATCTCCTGTAATATTTTGATAAAATATAATAGTTGATTGGAAAAAAACTTAATCCAAGGATTGGTAACCAGTATCACAATTCATACAGCAAGAAATGTCTTCCAATATCTTAATATCATACAGCAAGAAATGTCTTCCAATATCTTAATATCATACAGCAAGAAATGTCTTCCAACATCTTTTAATATCATACAGCAAGAAATGTCTTCCAGCATCTTTTAATATCATACAGCAAGAAATGTCTTCCAACATCTTTTAATATCATACAGCAAGAAATGTCTTCCAACATCTTTTAATATCATACTGCAAGAAATGTCTTCCAACATCTTTTAATATCATACAGCAAGAAATGTCTTCCAGCATCTTTTAATATCATACTGCAAGAAATGTCTTCCAACATCTTTTAATATCATACTGCAAGAAATGTCTTCCAACATCTTTTAATATCATACAGCAAGAAATGTCTTCCAGCATCTTTTAATATGAAACTTACAGCCAGCATTCCAATATTGAAGTTTTTACCAACCTAATAAAGGTGTAATGTGTGACAGGTAAATTTAATGTCATCTCTCTCAGGGGAATTACTAATTTCGTACTGGCTGTAAAATAAATATGCCTGTTTGTGAAACACATAGATGTAAACAAGATAAAACTACATGCAAGTCAATTACCTTAGTTCATTACTAGATTACTGTGCCTGTTAGTGAAATACATGTAAATGATGAACCTGCATGTAAGAACTTACATGCAGGTTCATCATTTACATGTATTTCACTAACAGGCACAGTAATCTAGTAATGAACTAAGGTAATTAACAGGCACAGTAATCTAGTAATGAACTAAGGTAATTTCTAGTAATGAACTAAGGTAATTAACTTACATGCAGGTTCATCATTTACATGTATTTCACTAATAACAATGCTTGTTAGTGAAATACAATAGATGATGTAGAAGGGATAAAATTGCATATAAATCAATTATAGGAATCTATAAAATAAAACTCTAGTTTTATGAAATTCAACAAAATATGCTGATCAATTCTTATGTTTTTGACTCACAACATGCTTTACTAAGTTGGTAGTTCCTATTTAATGGTATCCTTTATCCTCTGACAGAAACAGCAGTTTGGTTATTTGGCTGATATTGGATAGATTTAACAATATAGAAAACTTAAGAAATATTTATGTTAACTGTACAAAACTATATTTATATCTTAATGAAATCATTGAGGATTATATCTTTATGTATTCTTAACAATAAAAATATCCAGTCAGTCCTTTTTTTAAAGAAGAAAAATAAATTTTCTATTGTTTTAGCAGAATTCTAACTGAGGAATGAGTTCTATTCACTCTTTGAAACTTGCAGAGTTTGCTGAAAATGTTAAAAGTAGTTCACCGTAATGACTGAAAGAAAGTGAATACTTTTTGTAGCCACCTGTTAAACGTGGCAAGTGAAAGTTCACAGTTAATGGAAACGTGGTGATTTTTTTTAAGTTTCAAATTTGCTGGGAATATTTTATATGCGTATATATAATTTTTATAATAATTACACTCCTGTGCTTGGGAACCCTTTATATCCAAATTAGTTGACTGTCAACCATAGATCATTATTACTAGGTTTAATGTTTATAACTATAAATTGTCAGTTAAGTAGTGTTCATAATATATCTTTAAGAAGAAAGATCTGGTACTTTTATGTTGATGAAAGTTTTTATTTTGTGCAAAAAGAATGTGTATATATATATATTTACGATTTTGTCATGGTAACAATGTATTTTACCTCTTTTCTAGAGATATAATGTTGTTAGTTTTAACATGCACATCACATACACTTTTTTTTTTTTCTTTCATGTATCACTATCACATTTGTCACCATACTACTAGTTACATATGTTGTTAACAGTGGTCTAAACAGGTTCACCATACTACTAGTTGTGTATGTTGTTAACAGTGGTCTAAACAGATCCACCATGCTAATAGTTATGTACGTTGTTAACAGTGGTCTGAACAGGTTCACCATACTACTAGTTATGTATGTTGTTAACAGTGGTCGTAACAGGTTCACCATACTACTAGTTATGTATGTTGTTAACAGTGGTCTAAACAGGTTCACCATACTACTAGTTATGTATGTTGTTAACAGTGGTCTAAACAGGTTCACCATACTACTAGTTATATATATGTTGTTAACAATGGTCTAAACAGGTTCATCATACTACTAGTTATATGTATGTTGTTAACAGTGTTCTAAACAGGTTCACCATACTACTAGTTATATGTATGTTGTTAACAGTGGTCTAAACAGATCCACCATACTACTAGTTATATGTATGTTGTTAACAGTGTTCTAAACAGGTTCACCATACTACTAGTTGTATGTATGTTGTTAACAGTGTTCTATCAAAACTTCTGAACTGATGAAACTAAATAATGGTGATTTGATGTCCAATTCCCAGGTGCACCACATATCCTCCCACAGGTCCATTAGAAGGTTTGAACTGATAAAACTAAATAATGGTGATTTGATGTCCAACGTACAGGTGAGCTACATATCCTCCATAACATTATGGTAATCGAGACGACAACCTTTACTATTGTGTGCTCAGAAGAGTGTGTGTTAAAAACAAATCTGTCGTAATTCACCTCCCAGAGGTCCATTAGAAGGTTGAACTGATAAAACTAAATAATGGTGATTTGATGTCCAATGTCCAAGTGCACCACAGATCCATCAGAAGGTTTGAACTGATGAAACTAAATAATGGTGATTTGATGTCCAATGTCCAGGTGCACCACAGATCCATTAGAAGGTTTGAACTGATGAAACTAAATAATGGTGATTTGATGTCCAATGTCCAGGTGCACCACAGATCCATTAGAAGGTTTGAACTGATGAAACTAAATAATGGTGATTTGATGTCCAATGTCCAGGTGCACCACAGATCCATTAGAAGGTTTGAACTGATGAAACTATGTAAGGGAGATTTGATGTCCAATGTCCAGGTGCACCACAGGTCCATCAGAAGGTTTGAACTGACGAAACTATGTAAGGGAGATTTGATGTTCAATGCTCATGTGCAACACAGATCTTCCAATGGTTTGAACTGATGAAACTAAATAATGGTGATTTGATGTCCAACGTCCAGGTGAGCTACATATCCTCCCACAGGTCCATTAGAAGGTTTGAACTGATGAAACTAAATAATGGTGATTTGATGTTCCATGCCCATGTGCAACACAAATCTTCCAATGGTTTGAACTGATGAAACTAGATAATGGTGATTTAAAGTCTTCTACCTAGATCCATGAAATTTTGAATGTGGTGAGACTAAGAGAGACTCACAGCAAGAGTCATTGCAAAGTAATTTTTTGTCTTTACATGTAGGAATTTCACCATATAGTACAGTATTTACTATCCAGTATGTATAAATACAGGAAGCTGTTAGCATTGTTTTTTACTACTGGTCATATATATTGGGGTTCTTATTCTTTATATCATCAGAGGGACTTGGTTATTCTTACTAGCTGGAAGTAACTCCTGTAATATAAGGAAGCTGATCATTATAAAGGAGGTACGATGCACAGTAAGCAGGTTATTCATTGTCTCACATAGAGTATATGTGTTAGTATTTTAAAATACCTATAGGAAATGTCAAAAAGTGAGGAATTTCTTTAATCCTGTGGCTAGTAAGCAACATTACACACATTGAAAAAGCAAGTGTTACAAGCTTTGTTATTTGCACAAGTGGACAAACATGTTAAAATGAATTAAGATTTAAAAGTTGTTTTTCTCAGGTCAGAGATAATTTGTGAATTTAATTATTTTGAAGTGCTAAAAGACTTCTATGTCAATGCTTTTTACTTAGGAAGTCACTATATCAGCTGGGCCCAGCAGGCTGTTGTAACTCCAACAGGAACAAGGTACTTATGTCCAGTGTGCAACAAGACATTCAGTTCTGGAACTTCCCTCAGTGTCCATCATCTTCGTCAACATCGAACTATAGCAAGCCATAAGTGTGAAAACTGTGGCCAAGAATTCAGGAAAAAAAATGACTTAAAATTTCATTACTCATTCTGTAAGAATAGAAAGTAAAGTTGTAGTTCATTCCCTCTGGATATGTTTACGTGTCCTCCAAGATCTGAGCCACAAAGTTAGATATGTATGAAAGGTAACACTTTTAAGAAAACTTCTCATTACAAAGATTCCTTTTTTCAGTGAAAGAAGTGAGTGCAATAGCAAATATGGCAGAATGATTTCAGTTATTTAAAAAGTGTCTCATAATTGTTTAAAACTAAATACATCAGTATGCAAAAAGAAATTTTGTTCTAGGAATAAAAATTCAATGATAGCAATATTAGAAACCCCAACCTACCCATATATACCTTGATTACAGTCTGGATATGACACTCCACTAATGCTTCAGAGATTTTTATAATTCTATGGAGGCTATGCATGATGGGTCAATGACTTTATTTGGTTTTTGCCAGTTAAGGCCTACCATTGTTGTAGACAAATGTGAAACATGATTTGTCTGACCACATTTGTAGTAAACAATGATCCAATCCCAATAATCTAGGCAGCAGATCTTTCAGTTGTTGTCAAAAGTAAATAGTTTAGATAAATTGTAGCTTTTTCTGGTGGGAATGGATGCTTCTGGACCATTAAAATTATCCATCCATCAATTCTCATACATCCATTAGCCCAAACAATCCTTGATATTTGCCTTTCTCTTTTGACCACAGTTATTAAACAGTCTTATGATCTGATAATTATGCATTATAGATTCAGTATCAACTTGTGGTGATTTATTTCTTTAACATTGTATGAATAGTGTGGACCAGTCAATTCTTCAGGTAAGGGTTAATAACATTTTAGAAGTATCCCTATTAACATTAGTTATACTACAGAGGTGAAGTGTGTTACAGCAAAACGATTTGGGAACCTTGCCCTCACCTGTGTATTTTGACAACAGCCTTGTAGTGTAGTTTCCATTGCAAAAAAGCTCCCATCATAAAACTCATTTTTAAAGTACACTGCTCCTGCATAATATATGACGAGGATAGTTTCCTCATAGTTTCAACAGTCTGATCACACAGATATTCATCGGCAAAGCCATATGTCTTTGTATGGGTAAAAAGAATATCTATTTAATTCTCCAGCTGCTTGAGGTAGGAAACAGCTGTAACTTTTGTTGATTATGTTCCATACAATCACATGTCGACGGCTTTTGTCACTGACCTCTGTATTTGTGGATTGTCTGGTGTTACAAGATGCTGCACTATGCTTACCATGACTCAGGTACAACTTGTTGCAGGTCCTTTTTCTGCATGGTCCTGATTATCCAGGTTCCTTTGTTTTACACTGCCATTAAATGAAAGAAGTATTCCATCGTGAAAATTCAAAATTCTCGATCTGAACACACCTTTATGATCCGAGTATTTTTGCGTCATAAAGAGCTGTTACATGCCTATCTGAAAAGCAATCAACTTTTGGTGGCATCATATAACTAAAAATCAACTTTGTTATCCATATACATTTCTACTTGTAGATTAGATTGTATTGTTTCATCAGTTGTAATATAACTTACTCAGCCATCTGTAATATAATGTTTTATTTATTTGGGGTTTTGTAAGATAATGTGACAGTTTTCCCTACATAGTTGTGTGAGAAAATTGCTGTGATTTGTCATTCCTGTATGAAACTTATTTGAAAACATTTTTGTATGTGTTGGAACATAATAATCTTGTATTGTAATATGAGAATTACATCTGTAATGTGGAACAAGTTTTCTAATGATTCCAAAACTTTACTTACGATGACAATGTGTAATAATAGTGAAATAAAATTCATTATTTTTGTATCAATTTGTGTAATTTGCATGTAGTACAGCATCATTAGAGAATGGTCAGCTAAATTAATGATATGTGTACGTATGTCAAATTTTATTAATCTGTTGGTTTATATTAACTGAATTCAACCAAATATCCTGTTATTAAAGCATTTTCAAAGTAAGGCCTGTATTTTAAATGCCCAATGAGATGCTCAAAG